GGGCTAGGGATGTTGCTCAGTGGTATCGTGCCTGGTGCCTGCCTAGCATGCATGAGGTCCTGAGTTCAATCCCTAGTAGGAAAAAAAAAAAAAAGGAAGACGCATCTGGAAACACCATAGGAAATGCACCAAGACCCAAAAATAATGCACAAAGCTTAAACACAACCAGACATGTTGACACACTCCTGTAATCCCAGCCATTTGGGAGGCTGAAGCAGGAGGATTTCAAGTTCCAGACTAGTCTCAGCAATTTACTGAGGCCTAAACACCCTAAACAACTTGGCAAGAACCTGTCTCAAATTGAAAAATAAAAATGACTGGGGATGTGGCTCAGTGGTTAAGCTACTCTAGGTTAAATTCTCAGTACCCCCCCAAATATATATGTGTGTGTGTGTATATGTGTATGTATGTATGTGTATATATATATATATGTGTGTGTGTGTATGTGAATGAACATGTGTATATTATTTACATATCTATATATCCAAGAGGTATAAAAATTTGTATATTTGTGTTCTCTTCCCACCCCAAAACCACCTCTGATTGATTAGATAAATTTTTTTCAAGCCATTGGAGGAGAAATAGGGAATTAAAAAAAATCAATCCAAAAAGAATACAAGAAAAAAGGGGAGACATGGATTCATAGGGACAAATAGAAAATGAATATTACAAGGTAGTTATTGAGCTGACCATATCAGTAAAAGACATTAAATTTAGGAAATGAATCAAATATTGGAATTTTTAAAAAATAAAGATTTCAACTGGATTGAAAATCCCCAAACTCATTTATATACTGTTTATAAGGAAGACACTTGAACTATAAGGACWCAGGAAGGGAGAAAGTAAATACAATAAGATAAAGAAATACAACAGACAAACACTGACCAAACCATCCTGTAGCTACACAAAYAGACAAAGAGGAAGTTTTAGAGATAAGGAAAGACATTCATGATAATGAATGTTTCAATCTATGAGGAGGACACAAAAATTCCAAATCTGTGTGTACTTAATAACCAATTTTGAAAATTATATCAAGTAAAAATTGGCAGAACTAGTAAAGGGAGGAAGAAACAAAGAGATAATTATAGTGCACAATTTTTAAAYGTACAAAAAACTTGTTTTCATATACTTCCTATGAATGATTTGATAAACTTTCTATAAAACAGTTTATCAATATCAATTAAAAGATTTAAAGTTATCCATGGGCTGGGGATGTGGCTCAACTGGTAGCGCGCTCGCCTGGCATGTGTGCGGCCCGGGTTCGATCCTCAGCACCACATACAACAAAGATGTTGTGTCCGCCGAAAACTAAAAAATAAATAATAAAATTCTCTTTCTCTCTCTCTCTTAAAAAAAAAAAAAAAAAAAAGATGTTGTGTCTGCCGAAAATGAAAAAATAAATATTAAAATTCTCTTTCTCTAAAAATAAAATAAAATAAAATAAAATAAATTTTAAAAAGATATGTGTCCACCTAAAACTAAAAAAAAATACTAATAAAAATATTTTTTTAAAAATAAAAAAGTTATTCATACTCAATAAGTAAGTCTATTTCTACAATGTTCAAAATGATCTATTACAACTAAAAATTAAAAGCAATTTAGAAATCAAATAAGTAGGAAATCTAAACGAATTATGGCACAAAAAAGCAATATGAAGATTCCTCAAAAAACAGATGAAAACACCACATGACCCAACTATCACACTCCTTGGTATTTTCCCAAAAGATCTAAAATTGACATACTACAGTGATACAGTCATGTCAATGTTTTTAGTAGCACAATGCACAATAGCTAAATTAGGAAATCAATCCAGATGCCTGTCAATAGATGAATGGATTAGGAAATTGTGATATAATGATGGAATGCTTTGAAATCATTTTTTAATATTTATTTTTTAGTTGTAGTTGGACACATACCATTATTTTATTTATTTATTTTTATGTGGTGCTGAGGATCAAACCCAGGACCTCGAACATGCTAGGTGAATGCTCTACTGCTGAGCTACAACCTAAGCCCAGTGAAATCATTTTTAAAATTATGGTTTGAAGCCTATTTAGTGATGCAGGAATATGTTTATAAAATAAAGGTAAGTGAACAAAAGCAAAGTACAAAAATACATATTCAGCATGAATCTTGTTCTGCACAACAAAGTAACAAATAGCAAAAATGCATATAAAACTTATTCTTTAAAAAATGCCATCAAATTAAAAAGCTTCTGTACACCTAAAGAAGCTTTTAAGAGCCTGAAAAGAGGCTACAGAATGGACAAAAATCTTGGCTACCTACTTTTATGGAAGGGGATTATTATCCAGAATATACAAAGAACTCAATAAATTTAACTTCAAAAAATAAACAACCCAATCAACAATGGGCAAAAGAGCTAAACAGAAACTTCTCAAAGAAGAAACACAAATGGCCAACAAATATATGAAAAAATGTGCAATATCTCTAGCAATCAGGGAAATGTGAATCAAAGCTACAAGAAGATTCCATCTTACTGCAGTCAGAATGGCAAGGATCAAGAATATGAACAACAGGGCTGGGGAAACAGCTCAGTTAGTAGAGTGCTTGCCTCACATGCACAAGGTCCTGGGTTCAAGCCCCAGCACCACACACACACAAAAAAAGAATACGAACATCAACAAATGCTTGCAAGGTTGTGGGGGGAAAAGATACACTTGTACACTGCTGGTGGGGCTACACTCCTACAACAACTCTGGAAAGCAATATGAAGATTCCTCAAAAAATGGATGAAAACACCACATGACCCAACTATCACACTCCTTGGTATTTTCCCAAAAGATCTAAAATTGACATACTACAGTGATATAGTCATGTCAATGTTTTTAGTAGCACAATGCATAATAGCTAAATTAGGAAATCAATCCAGATGCCTATCAATAGATGACTGGATTAAGAAATTGTGATATATAATATAGGTGTACACACACACACACACACACACACAATGGTGTTCTACTCAGTCATAAAAGAATGAAATTTGGCATTTGCTGGTAAATGGATGGAGATGGAGAATATTATGTTAAGTGAAATTAGCCAAATTCAGAAACTCAAAGGTCAAAAGCTTTCTCTCATATGTGGAAGCAAGAGTAAAATAAGGGAAAGGGGGAGAGAAGGATAGAATAACATAAAGAACCAATCAAATACAAATAAATAGATGAGTGAAATAATGTCTAATAGAGGAAGGAGAATGGGAGAGGGGAGGGAAGACAGGAGGGAAAAGGTGGGATCATGAACTGAAATCGATTTCCAAGCATCTATGAATTTGTWGGGATGAACCCTACTACTATAACTATAACTATAAAGTTCTAATAAAAAATATCTATCCTAAAAGAGATATTCTAAAAGATTA